AGGCGGGCGGATTGTTTGAGCTCAGGAGTTGGAAACCAGCCTGAGCAAGAGCGAGACCCCGTCTCTACTAAAAATAGAAAGAAATTAATCGGACAACTAAAAATATATAGAAAAAATGAGCCGCATGGTGGCACATGCCTGTAGTCCCAGCTACTCGGGAGGCTGAGGCAGTAGGATCGCTTGAGCCCAGGAGTTTGAGGTTGCTGTGAGCTAGGCTGACGCCACGGCACTCACTCTAGCCCGGGTAACACAGTGAGACTCTGTCTCAAAAAAAAAAAAAACAAACAAGGCAACTGAGCACCCCTCCTCACAAAAAAAAAAAAAAAAAAAAAGACCTCTTGATTGAACCCATGATTATAGAATCATGGGTAATTATATCCACCCAATCAGAACAGTGAGTTATCACCTGACCATAGCTCTATGAATGCTTTTATTTGGATATTTTTTCCAGAAGGAACATGTTTCTCATGCAGCAATCTTAATAAATGTAAGTGGGCTCCATTTTTTGGCTTTGAGGTAATTAAAAATTAATTACCATACTTTACAAGTAATAGTTTCCATTCACAGCACTCCCTTAGAAGTAAATATATCATAAATAGTTACTGTTATACCAATGGCTGGTAGATTGGGCAGCCTGTCGTCCATAAATGCTTTTTCAACAGACATGTTATTTCTTCTGGGGAACAAACAGATTTGTTTTAGATCAGAGAGTCAACTGACAGATGGCCTTTGTAAAAACACACCATTTGTATAAATAAATTATAGTTTCACTATGGTATTCTGCATTTGTGGATTTGGAAAATCAATGCCCCCATTCTCTGGAATGGGCCTAAACTGTAAAGAGCAATTTTGTTTAGGTGTGAGGTCACATTGCACAGATCTGCCAACACAGATGCTAAAGTCCAAATTCTCTAGATGCTTGCTGCCGCTTCCCATCACAATTGTCACAAAGAGCTCTGCCTGGAGGTAATAGGATGATCTCCCAGAGAGCTCAGTAACCGATCAGAGCAAGTTACCAACTGGCACACTCCCCTTAGCTCTGGAGTCCGTTTTCATTAAATTTAATGACACCACGTGCCTTATTTTCCTAATCACAACTTAGCATAACTGGTGCTGACAATGCATTTGTCTTAAAAACCTGAAACCTTAAAAACACATGCTTTGCCTGTGTGTCCTTTCTTTAAGGGCACTATTCTCCCACCATAAGTGATTAAGATCTTAAAGTTATTAGTTCTGGTCAAGGAAGTAAAAGTTTAACATTAATCATATTCATTATTCAAAATACAACAAGAAAGACTTTGTATGTTTCTAGCTATAACTAGAACCTGAGGCTCCCAAGTTGTTATTTAGAGTTATACCAGTTGGTGCCTTGACAGAATTAATACAGTGTCTAGAGTTTCCTAACTTACATCCAAAGAAGTGCTTAAACCAGTGATTTCCACCTGATTCTATGGCACTCTTAGGGAATATCAGGTTACTTCAAAGGGGATCTCAAATTCTCAAACAAAATTAATCTGGCTATACAAATCCCACACATCTATATTCACATATGCCAGATATATAACTCCACGCACATAGTCTTTCCAGAAGAGGCAAAGTCCAGAAATTAATAAGGTAATTGCATATCAAGATCCTAGGAGGATAAAATCACAAATTATAATATGTGGCATAAACTGGATTAGAACTAATCATGGAAAATAAAAGTCCATTCAATTTACACAACATCATAAATTTGGATCATAAGAAAGAAAAAATGTTTGGGGGAGTAAAATCAATAGAGCTATTTTTGGAATAGATGAATTACTAGAAGACCCAATAGAATATGAACCTGGTTTCATGGCTCATTCGTTTGATTCATTTTTTTTAATCTCTCAATCATGCTACATGTCTGTCTCTAAATGGAGAAGCAGTTCATCCTGCATCTGGATAAAATTTTTACTAGACATCCTTGTTGCTAATGGAGTCAACTCACAATCAATACATGTATTCATACATATTATGCACACATACAGGTCAGGGGTTAAGAAAATGTTTTCAGTGCACTTGTAATCAACCAAACCTCCTGTAATTATGTTAGGTAGATCGCGAGGGATTCCGGGTCTCCTAGTGGTGAAAGTGGGTGTCGTTGCGGTTTACCCCCCAAAATGGGCTTTCAGAAAGGCTCATGGGAGATCCACATGTGCAGTAAGACTCGAGTCATATAACTCTCAACTGTCCAAAGTGGTTCCATGGCGATGTCTGAGCCACAAGGAGCTCCCTATCCGGACACTATAAAACAAGACCCAGACCATAAGCAAGGTCTCCCTCTCTTTTTTTGTGACAACAGTGGTCCAGTCGTCATCTGTGGCATATGTATCTTGCTCTGTAACCTATATCTTGCTCTTGTTCTATAATCCTATCTTTCTCTCCTCAATAAACCTCATTTTCATGTTTGTCTTACTTTGGTGTGTCTGGTCCTTCTTCGGCCATGAGCACACCAAGAACCAAGAACCCAGAACAAGATTGCCAAATCCAACAGTTAGGCTATTTGCTGAGTCTTTGAGGATACGCATTGGGAGAGGTCCAAGGGGCCCCACTGGACTCATCATGCGACTGAGTGCAAAATTCCTTTGCTTAAAGCAAATGCACTTCTCTACTGTCAGATTAAGACAGTGATTAAGTGCATGAACCTGTCACTTCTTAACTCCGTAAGTGTGGGCAAGTTTCTCATCCACTCCCTGCCTCAGTTGTTCCATCTGTGAAAAGGAGAAAATAGTACTTACCCCACAGAATTGTTATGAGGATTAAATGAGTAAATAAGAATACAGTGCTTAGTAGAGTGGACACGGAAAGCATTCTGTAAGTGTAAGCTCTAATTATTTATTGTTCAACTTGTCAGAGGTTCCCTGAGCTAGAGGCCACTGCTGAACTCAAGATAACCAAAGAACTTACAATCATGTTGACTGTTTTCAACGTATTTTAAATTTATACAATACTATCTCATATTATCTCAGCGTTAAATCTTTGTGTTAAATGTTCAGTACTAAACATATATAATTTAACCAGATGTGCATATTAAGTGGCATATTTGTCCCCTATCCATCCTGAAAAGTTTGGACTTGGTGGAAACTGCATTTGCTGGGTATCTGGAAATGTACTGGAAGCTCTACCACTGACTATCTACGTGGCTTTGGCTGAGTCACCTGACCCACACATGTACCAGACTTCTTCCTATACCATAACGGGTTTAGACTAGGAGAACACTGTGATCCCTTCTGTTCTAAGAACCAGAGTATTATGAAGCTGACCTCCCCCTTGATTTTCTGAGTTGTGACAGCATCATTTGTTTGAAGAAAACCAACCAGGATGAAATGAGAGAATATTGACTAGTCACTTTCCTAGACTCAGCTTTTTTCAGGATAGCACATAACAAAATGCTAGGATAAAACAAATTACGTAAAAGTCACATAAAAATGACCATGTATACCACTTTTATTGGGAAATTACATGGAGAATGTGAATCTAATATCTACTGATGAATTATTCAACTCTATTTCAGTCACCCTGGCTGACTGGGTGACAGAGGAGGGGTGTTGTTCAAGTATTCACAGAAGGCTCCTGAACTCTGTTGAATGTTGGCCTGAAGGTTGTTTCTGGTGAAGAATGGGCACCAGAATGTGTAAGAAGGGAGATAGGTACTTCCTCTAGGAATGGGAAAAAACACCATTATGGGATGCCCCAGGTGATCATTTGAAACCCTTTAAATACATGCTTGGGAAATGAGGAATTCATCCTGACTGGGTTTCTGACCTGGAAAGTACCTTCCGAGACAAAGAACCGTGAGGTCATCCCCAGAGAGCATAAAGGGCTTAGGAAGAAGAGTGAAGGACATCCCAACACACTGAAACTGTTGAGTCCAGAAGAGTTTGAAAAGCCACGTGATATTTACACAGAGAGAGCTTTATTTATACCTTATGATATACGCATGATTTGGGGGAAGTCAGAGAGAATGGTGGCTAATTTCTAAGCAAACACATTGTTTAAAATGTACATCATGTTCTAAACCTAAAGCGCTATCTATAAATGCGGCTATAGTCATGATTAACTGGTATAGATCCAGAGGGCAGGGGGCATTTGGGTTCTTCCCACTCAGGCAATCCGAGGTTTTCAGTCACCCCAAGGTCCCCATTGTCTAAACAGCTACAAGTTTATAGCAGCAAATACACACAATATTACCAAACATAACAGCTTTGGAAAACATCCATTTGGCCCATGCTGGAGAATTATGCTTTCGTGGGTTTCTCTTTTTCGAAGAGATCAAAATGTTGCCCTTCACAATCTTTTGACTCATCAAGGAGAAATCAGAGGAAACCTGGATGGTCCATGGCAAGTTAGCATTTCCCACTGAAATAAACAAATTCCTTTGACTCCCCTCCAGCCATGGAGCCCTTGCCAACATCTCACAGTACAAAAGAGACTGGCTTCCAGCAGGAACGGAGCAACTGCTAATCCCCATTATGAGACCTGATATTGTCCACCACATCCCCCCAAAATTTATTTTCTAGAAACTAATAAATATTGGTCCTTAAGACAATAGCCTCGTGCTAATGTAAATACCCATTGGGATATTACAAATTAACACACTCCAAAGCAACCCAATTAAAAATTATGCCCATGCACACAGTCTCACCCACCAAAAGATACATCTGCTACTCCAAATATCATGCAACACTGGATTCTAAATTGGTCTTAATTTATAAAAAGCCGACAGGCGTGGATATAAATTCTTAGTTCCTGTGGCTGTGACCGCCCTATGCTATCTTCCCAGTGGTGGACACAAACGTTAATGTAGTTGTTATTATTTAAGGACACAAGAACATTGAAAGTGGCATTTTTCGCTTTCACCATCTAAGACTCTGCCCAGAACTGCCAGATGAACGCCCACGCCACCAAAGGTGGATCCGCTAACAGGAGACTCTGGATCATGACCATAGCGCCTCTGTGCCCAGCTCTGGGGAAAGCCTCATCTTAGCAAGTGGCCCTAGGCGCATCCAACAGACCCGCCAACTAAGCGGAGGCCGCGCGGTTTCATCTTTAATGCTCCTGAAGGACAATAGCTCATCAAGCCCCACCGAAAGCCCCGGACCCGTCGCGGAGCCTGGGCTGGCGGGGGATGAGGCTGAGCGACTCCTCCTAGAGGTGGTTATGTGGAGAAGGAGCAATCCCTTCTCCCTCCGCCTCCTCCCCCCGCTACTATCCGCGGCCCAGGGAACTGCCGCTTGCCGCCATTGACACGCACAGATAGAACCCAAAGAAAGGCAAAGAGTCCTGCCTGGCACCGGCGCCGCGCGGGCCGAACCTGCGCCGAGGAGGGGCGCGCGGAGGGGACCGGGCGCCCGGAGCAGGCGGCGCAGCACCAGGTGAGCCCGCCATGGCTATGGCATTATTGTTTAGCGGGCTCCGGGCTCTGGAAACAAAACGCGCCGCCGGGGCAGTGCAGGGGCCGGAGAGCACCTCCCCTGCCTCTTCCCGGAGCCCTTGCGGGCGCACCCCCGAGAGCCGACCCACCCCCTGCAAGAAAAAGAAATTAATAAATCAAGCCGCCCAACTTGCTTCCTCCAGAAATAAAGGGGGGCTTGGTAAAAGAGCGGTAAAATTCCTGCGGCCGGCGAGGGGTTGGGGGCATCTAGGGCAATGAGGGAGGGAGGAAGGAGGGATGCGGGGTCCAGCCGCGGGCCCCGGGCGAGGCTGGACCCGGAGGAAGCGGAGGGCTCCTGGAGATGCGGAGTTTGGGGCGCAGAAGAGGGAGGGGGAGGCGCCGGCCACCAGGGGGGACTGGGCGGGGGAGGGGGCCGAGGGAGCCGGGGCAGGGCCGCTCGGGGGCCTGCAAGGGTGCCCGGGTGGGCGCCGGCTACTCCGGGCTGACAATGGAGGGGCGCGGAGGGAAGAGACCGGGGTCCGGGGGCGGGCCGCGCCGGGGAAGGTCAGGCCGGGGACGCCGGGCGGCGGAGGGAGGGCCCGGCTGCCGCGCGGGCACCTGAGCGTCGCCGGCGGGCGTGCGCCCGGGACCGGCGCGGAGGAGGGCGCGGGGCCGGGCACTCCCCTCCGGTTCCCTTTCCGGGGCGCCCGGTGCCGACGCGCGCGCTGTGCTCTCGCTGGCAAATGGCGGACCCTCCGCGGCTCGCCCGGGCACTCCGGCTTCCCGCTTTGCGCGGGAAAATAATAATAATAATAATGAAAAAGAGAATAAAAGTAAAGTGGCTGCGGCGCAGGAAAGGGCTGTGCCGGGCGCCGGGCGCGGTGCGTGTCGCGCGCGGGGCGCGGCGAGTGGGGACCAGTCCTGCCTCCCCGGCTCCTAGCCCTCAATCCGCGCGCCCTAGCCCCGGCCTCGCCATCCTCCCAAATCGCCCCCGTGGGTGTCTTCCCCCGCCTTTCCTCCTGGGGGCGCCCTCAGCTCCTGCCCTCTTTGTTCCTCACAACAATGGCCCAAGGGGCATTGGTCCCCTGAGGGCCAAAGGAGCCACCTTCTCCAGGAGTTTCCCGTCGAGTGAAATGGGCCACCGTGGGCCTGATTTAGGCCTGGTTGTTGCCGGGGTTTTTTGCAACAGCCCCAGGATGGGTGAAGGACTGAAGAAATGGGCTGAGAAACCAAAGGGGAGTCCCTGAGTGTCTGAGGGGTTGCAATGGGAACCCCGGCTCAGCAGCCCTGTTTGTAAGGGCAGTTCCCGCGTTACAGCGGCGCTGGGGAACTGAGGTGTCAGTCCAGCCTCTGTCCTGCTCAGGGGAATTCAAAACAAGGACCCAGTTCTAAGTCCCACAGACCCCAGGACCCCCAAGGGGCGATCAGTACACCATGGAGAATTGTTTTCTCATTTGTGTTTGCTTTGAAATACAATTGTACCCTCACTGGGCTGCACAGTTGCTACTGAAATGGTTCGATAGGTGAGAGAAAAAGAAAACATTAAGAGCGAGAATGTGTCTTCATTTATGTTGTTTTGAAATACAGACTAAGCTACACATAATTCTCAGTTCGTTTTAAAACTCTTCTTATTTTCATACTAAAAGTTCAGAGCTCCAAGATTTGGAACCATGCTGGTGATTTTTAGAATTGCTTTAGCCCAAGATTATCATACAAATAAATATAGGCACTGCCCGGTGGAACCATTTATCTTGAATAGCATAATTCACATCTTTAAAACTCCCCTTTCCTGTATCCAGAGTTCCTTTTAAAATATGTCCAGTTTTCCTTTCCTCTGGTTTTTCCTACCGTGTCACAGTTCTACCTCACCTGGATCCATTCATAGCCAGACTTTATACATTACAAACGGTTTCCTCTATTTCAAAACTCTATGAAAGAATTTACCTCCTTGGATCCAGAATGTCCCAAAGATTCTGACCCTATTCCCTCTCCATTCCTTCCTCCGTCTTGTTCCCAGGGTTTTTGAGACGCCTGTGGTCTGCCGTTTCCCAGTGGGTGGGACACCCTGCTAGCTATTGTTTGAGACAACCTCATCTGTTTTCATTGCCTCCTGCCAGCAAAGCAGGAGGTGAATCCTGTCTTAGGCAACTTTAAATGAAAGATATCTTTATAACTTGTTCAGGGGGAGGGATGTGCAGAAATTCAACGAACTTTCTTAAGAATGTTTTTTATTCTTAAGAAATAACCTCAAAGTTAGATACAGTCTTGGTAGATGCTTTTGAAAAGTGTGTATTGCACAGAGATGAGCACAGAACTTGTGGTTAGAGATCATTCAACGAACAAGTACTGAGCACCAATCCTTAAACACCTCTGGATGGGGAAAGAAATGAAAGAAAATGTGAAGAGGTCATGGGCCCTTCTCTCATAGAGCTTACAGCCCCAAGCCTAGGAGATAAAATATAAATGCAGGTAAAACAAGGTAAAAAGTGATTTTGGCAAGCTAGTAGGAAAACAAGTACTTTAATATACTGCTGACAGGTGTGTACATTGATATAACCAATTTGGAGGGCAGTTTGGCACTATTAAATTAATAATGTGCACATTCTGTGACCGAGCATTCCATTTCTTGGTGTGTGACCTAAAAAAGTAGGCATACGATGTTCATTACTGAGTTTTAGTAGTTCTGAAATTGAAAACAACCTAACAGCCGTCAATAGCAAGTTGCTAAACAAATTCTAGTACATCTATCTCCTGGAATATTAGGCAGCAGTTAAAAAGAATGAAGCAAATCTATATATACTGAGACAGAACAAGATCACCAAAATATACCATTAATGAAAAAAGCAAATTGCAGAACAGTACATACTATATGGTACCATTGATGTAAAAACAAAATAAAACTATAAATTTCTATAAGAAAAATGCATACATAAATGGATAAATGGATAGAAAAGGTGTCAAAGAAGATACCCACTAAAAGAAACAAGAATTGGAGGAATTGTCAAGAAGGGCTTGAGTCATATCATTATTCATACCCATCTATAACCATTGTTATAATATTTGGAATTTTACAATTTGAATTAATTATATATTGGTTGGATAACTAAATACAACTAGTGATTTAAAGGTGATTAATAATGTATAATGAAAGTTGCAAATAAAATGCTTCAACAGTTTCTAAAGGGAGAAGAGAATTTAGACTGGAAGAGAGGGAATTGGGCTAGGCTTCCTAGACAATGTCGCAGGATTTGGATGGGGAAGGGGCAAAGGAACAAGGCAGGTGGGGGGAAGCTTGATGCAGACACTGCATGACTGTGTAAAGTGCCTTGCAAGGCTGAGGGTCCTGGCCTGCCTTGCTAAGGTTCAGGTTGAAGGGTGAACTAAAAGAATGCTCACAATTTCTTTCATTGCTATGATTCCGTGAA